TACGTTTTTATTGTAAACGGCAAATATTTAACCGGTTCCTAAACCGGGGAGCAAGCAGAACTGGTAACACGTAGGAAGGGACGCAGGCGGGCAGGTCTACACAACCTTAAACAAAATATTGAAAATTGGTTCTCGTCACACTACATTCGTATGCCGTCAAGCCGGTATTGAAGCCACCATTTAATCAATTGATGTATTCTCACGATAATTCATTCAACCGTTAACCCAGCTCCGATTAGCGCGCTGTTTTGTGCGTTCTGATTTCTTTTGTTGGGTTACAAGCACCTAACAATTCTGTTCATTAGCGTGGCGATTGGAATTCGGTGCTTGTGTGAATCACATTGGAGACTAGGTTCAAGATGTGTTCTTTTATTTCCGTCTTGATCTAATCCCTCACCGTTCCACGGAGAACCTGTCTGTCAGCGGTTTCTCACCATCGCGTTTGGTCGCCCTGTGGATTTAGCTTCTTCTCTCTCACACCGCCGTGACGCCACAGCGTCTAAAATCTCGTTGCTCATCTACATCGATTTCACTCATATGGGTCAGCTAAGCAAGCCCAGAGCAGTTCTTTCCCTTTTCAATCTAGTCCTAAAAGAAATTTACCACTCTTTTCCCATAGTGATAAATGTGAATGTAGGACATAAAAGAAATAGAATAATGCTTAACTTAATTTTGTTTTGTGAATATAGAATGATACAGTTAGTTTCCCGATTGCAACAGCGATAAATCGTGAGAATACTCATTGGGATGAGCAATGAAACCGTGGTTGTGTGATTTGAACATGCGAATTCGTTGATCGAAATGATAAAAATCTATACCATATAATAATAATACTATTAATAAGCTTTAAGCTATACCAGTACTGACATAACTACCACTATCACCACCTTTGTCATGATCGCTAGGATCAACCTCACTAGCCACGGCAACAACATCCTCACCTGCTGAGGTGATAAAATCTATAGTCTGTTGTTCATAAACAATTGACCCAGAAAGGTGCACTACACCGGATTATTCCCACTCGCAGTTCACGATAACTTAATTGATCACATTGTTTTCTGTATCATTCCAAATGTTCTGATCTCAAGTACAGTTCCCCGGGGGAGGGAGGAGAAGGATTGAAGGGTTCGCAAATTGTATTCGAAATCCAGGTTCTCAGTTCATTCAGCCAGTCTACTTGATCACTTCAATTGTGTGCTTATAATCGATTTTGTTATCACGTTTGAACCGAGACCGAAAAGCACCAGTAGCAATACGTTTAATCAACCGTGTTTTGGTTGGTTCACTTCAACTTCCAGCTCCATACATGCAAACAATCTAACAGTATGGTTTTCAATTCGACTTTCGATATAACACAATCGAAAATATTCTGTTCGTCCGTGAACAAATGTTGCCGACAGTATTTCCTGTTTTGATTACATTATTCTACTTAGGTAAGTGTGTGTGTGTGTGTGTGTGAAGCATTGATTTCACAGTTCAACCAATGATGATTCAAACACTCACCGGTTATCAGTCAACACATCATTCGCTTCTGTGTGCTGCATTTCTTTCTTTTTGTAGATCCAGTTAACTCGGATATTGTATGCCCTATGGCTGCGGTGGATGTGACGGCCAATGTACAATCTGTAAATTTTACCCTCGGG